AGTTGTATTAATGTATCAGGATTATTGTCCGGACTACGTGTTGTAGATCTGTGACATAGATACTCGCTTTATCTATATTATGAGGTATTTCAGTTAGATGTCTTTTTGCAATTTACATACAGGCGATATTTTATGAAATTGATTAAGTAATCAACTTGGCTAAGTATAACAACGTCATAATTGAAAAGAAAAAGATATTCCGCATTTTTAATTAAGTGCAGCTTAATACGATGATATGTTAACAAACCGGGTATACTCGGGGTGTTACACCGCACATCGTAGTAACTCTTCTGGCGATTCTGCGCCTGCTTCAACTTTTCCCTGATCAATTTGATCTGCAGGGTGGTATCTTGGACAAAGTCCAAGCCAAACAGCTCCTTGTCTCCAACCTCAGACCAGCAGGTAGGAGTCCGACACCTCTTACCATACAACGCCTCGTAGGGTGCCATGCCAAGGCTAGCATGGAAACTGTTGTTGTACGAAAATTCAACCAATGGCAGGTACCTATCCCATGTTGAACCCTTCTTTAAAGTGCAAGCCCTCAACATGTCCTCGAATGTCTGGATGGTCCGCTCAGTCTGTCCGTCAGTCTGAGGGTGATAGGTGTTACTCAGTCTCAACTGCGTACCAAAAGCCTCCTGCAGCGCCTCCCAGAACCGAAAACTGTTAAAGAGAAAATTCAATGAAGATATATATATATATATATATATATATATATATATATATATATATGGAGTATGAAAATTTCTTGTAGATACCCATTAATAAATTCTTTGTTTTTTTTGTATTTTTAAAAAAATTTAAATATTAAAATATTGATTAAATGATTTATGTGGATCCAATGTCATTTAAATGATTTTAGACATTTATCGCTGATTGTTCCATCTTTCTTTTTAATTGTGAAGTTTGCTCTGTCCCTCTATATTCATGTTCTTCACAAGTTACGACTAGGGGTGTAAATGGGACATGTTAAGCCTACAGGCTTTGGCTTTAATAGCCTAAGCTTAGGGGTGTTCATCAACCGATCCAAACCGATTCAAACCGCGAAAACCGAACCGAAAAATCGATAACCGAATAAACCAAAAACCGAAAAATCGGAAACCGAAAGCAAACCGCAAATTATAATTGGATTGGATCGGTTTTCGGATGGGTTGATGAAAACCTATCAAATCCAAACCGATCCAATATATTAATTATCCTCTACCTACTTGTCATTTCTCTAATCATAGCCCAAAAATTTCTAAACTCAAGACCCATTAACTCATCAACTAAACCAAAAAAAAAACTTAGTCACGTCTCATCAACTATAGTATTGTTTAGTGATATTTTTGTATTTCAAATTTTTTTTTTACAAAGCCAATATGTACAAAAGATGTTATTTGTACAATAATCATGAAACTAATTTTAGGATATTCAAAAAACCGAAAACCGATCCAATCCAAACCGAAAAAAATTGGATTGGATCGGATCGGATTTGAAAAAAAATCTAAACCGAATGGATGATTATATGATCAAACCGAAGGGATTGGATCGGATGAGTTTTGCTTCCAAAACCGATCCAATCCAGACCGCGAACAGCTAAGCTTATCTAAAATATTTAGAGCCTATACTGACTTATTAGCATATTAAAGACTTGATTTATTGGTTTGGCCTGACCTATTATAAAAAACTAAAAAACCTAATGTGGCCTGTAAGGCCTACCAAGTTGCAAACCAAGGGGGTGTACTGGATTAGGATTTCAGAGGATTTTAATGGATTATTTTAGACAAAAAAATCCATTGGTATTCAATTAAAATTTTAAAGCATTGAAAAAAAGTCATGTGGTATTCAATTAGGATTTTAAAATATTAATTTACACTCCGTCCAAATTCGTTGGTATTCAATCAGGATTTTAAACAAAGGAAAAACAATATTGTGGTATTCAAAAATCTGACAATTTTAATGGATTTTTCATTGGAGTGGATTTCGTGAGACTTTTTAGTGAGAAATATAAATAAGATGTCTCTCTCACAATCTCACCCTAACCCCTAGGATTTCTTGAGATTTCTATACTGCAGTGTCTCACAATCTACTCTAGCATTTTCTCAAAGCCAAGGTATGTTCTTTTTCTGACTCTCATATATTTTCTCAGGTATGGGTATTCCTCCTTCATGACTAATGATACTGTTTGTCGTATGTATTTATCAGGTTTTGGTATTCCTCCTTCATGATTAATGATGTGCTTCATTTTATTTTTTACCAGAGTTGTATAGAGTTGACGATAAACATGTATCTAATCTCTAAAATTGAACTAATAAGCTTACCACATACATTATTTGTCGACCTTCTTCTTTTGTATATTGTTTGGATTATAATAAGCATAAAATCCTAATATTCTTCGTGTTTGGCAATGATACATATTAAAAATCTTAATAATTCGATGGCAAGCTCTATTAAAATCCTAATATTCTTCGTGTTCAATCTTCGTCATGCATCATTGAGAAATGTAACTGAGAGGATATTTGGCATATTTAAATCACGGTTCACAATTTTTAAGTCAGCACCTCCATTTTCATTTAAAACACAAGCAGAGCTTGTGCTAGCATGTGTAGCACTACATAACTTTCTTCGCAAAGAATGTCGTTCAGATAAATTTTCAATTGAATCAGTAGATGCATCTTCATCTTCAGTATCACCAGTTAATGAAGAAGATAATTTTTAACTCATTGGTCAAACCCAAGAGCAGGAATAAGAAGATGCTGATGCGTGGAGGACTAGTATAGCTTTAAATATGTGAAGAGCTTATACTTAGTAATTTTGAATGTTTGTTAAAAATTATATTAAGTTTTACTAATTGAAAAAATTATATTAGGTTTTACTTTTTTATTAATATCATTGCATTTCTTTATTATTATTTTTATTGACTCTTGTAATTTTGAATATTTGTTAAAAATTTATATGATTTTTTAAAATCGTATAAATTCATATTGTCCTTTCAAATCTTATAAATTCTATTAAAATTTATAAGATTTTTTATCTCAAAAAAAAGTCTTTTAAATCATAAAATCATAATTTAATACACCCCCTAAAGTTTATAGGCCCAAACCAAATTGAAATGTAAAAGATAAAAAAAATTATTCACAAAGATGACATGAAATAAATTTTCATTAACATCACATGAAATAATGTTCATAAAGATCACATGAAAATGTTCATAAAAATCACATTAAAATTTCATATATATATATATATATATATACACACACACACATATAATTTGCACTTTTTTTACTAATTGAATTTTATATTATATTTTAAATTTTAAATAAATATTTATTATTTGTTAAAACAACATTAATCCTATTACTTTGAAAATTAATGTTACAAATTATGATCTTAGAATATGCTTTTAAATGAATAATATATATCATAAATATATTATATTATTAAAAAATAAAAGGTATGTGTAATTATGATAAATATTTCGATATGTCAAATTTTTTGGCCCGACTAAAATTAAATTCTGGCTCCATCACTGGTTTGATCGGACATAACAACAAGTAAGGTAAACAAGATAAACAAGAAATATGTTTCTTCTTTCGCTGTCTCTCTCTTACATTGTTACGTTAGAACGAGGAATTGATTTGAGACAGAAAGAGTGTGAAAACTGAAAAGCAAGATTTTCTTTTGAGATGAAAACGGAGGCGGTGGGAACCAATTCAATCTATTTGGTGAGGCTAGATTTATAATTTTATATATCTCAAAGATATGGATTAGTATTATTATATCTCCGTGGAGTGATGGATCAATCAACAAATTAATGACTCTACTAATTTTTCTAAAATATTATACAATACAAATTAACAGAAGATGTACCAACCCTAAAAAAATGACGTGTTTTATTATAAAAATTGAGAGATAGGCACATTTTAACTTGCTTTCTATATTGATAGGCACATTTTATGTATCTAATTGTATTTTATGTATTTACATAGGAATAATTTACCCAACTTATGCTTATATCACCAGGATAAAAAAAATTAAAATATTTTAAATACATTTATGTTTATAATGTATTAATTTAATATATTATTTCTAATTTTATTTAAAAGTAATATATTAAATTAATATATTTAAAATCAAATTAAATCTAATCATGCCAATTATTAAAAAAAACTTTAAAATATATTTTGTTTTTAAAATAAAATAAAATAAAAACATAAATGAAATGATAATTAAAATTCATAAAATTTATATTTAATATATTTTAATTTTATTTGTCCTGATGATATAAGCATAAGTTGTGTCAAAATTTCTATATAAATACATAAAATTCAAAATTCAAAAGTACACAATACGATAAAGTTTTGTTTCAAAATTTGTCCTGATGATATAAGCATAAGTTGTGTCAAAATTTCTATATAAATACATAAAATTCAAAATTCAAAAGTACACAATACGATAAAGTTTTGTTTCAAAATTTAAAAGTAAATAATACAAAATTTTAAAGTACAAATTATTTTAGTTTTAAAATAATCATTGTTTAAAGTTTTGTACAAAAATTAAATAATTCATTAAATACTTTTCGATTTAATGAAAATATAAGTTTATTTGATTATATTACACCTTCACTCTATTAAATCATTTGGAATAAGTAGCAATAAAAAAATAAAGTAGAGTTAAGAAAATAATATATTTTTATTTTTTAAAGTGACAAATAATTTAGAATAAATTATAAATTTTTAAATACAATTAGATACATAAAATGTGCCTATCACAGTAGAAATCAAGTTAAATTCAACACCATATTATTTAAACATGGTCCTATCACTTAATTTGTTTTTAGTTTTTTTTTAAAAAAAAAAAAAAAAACCCAAGCAAGACCTGAATATCAAACTTGTGCAGGTCAACAAATTAGACAGGATTAATTATCAAACTTCAAGACCCGATACGTCAAATACTTTGACGGGATTAATTTAATTTCATTAGTTGCGTTGGTTTGTCTGACGGGAGTGGTTGACATGGACTGGGTGCCGTTAACTTTTCTTACGGAACTGCTTGCACAATTCAAAGTGGATCAGTAGTCCCGTAACAATACATGATGAGACTGATTTCGTCATTCCTTTTGACATGTTTGACTATAGTCCGGTAAAACTTATCAAATGTAATTTTAATTGAAAATCTTCCACAAAAAATTCATACAACGGTGCTTTTGCCTGCTAAATATGCTTCATAAAATGCAGTGCAAGGTTTGCATATTTGCTATTGAAGCCTTCTTGGGGTGATGGGGATTACACAAGCAAAGGGACTCTAATTTTAGAAGTAATAGATGATGAAATTGAAGAAGGTGATAAAGAAAAGTTTGAGAGCAACAACGGGGAAGATCATGAACATGATGACGAAGGGATAGAAGATAAGCATCATATAGTTTGTGCTGTTGAAAGCTTTTATCCTCAGAGAGGTGGCAAAGTTCTTTCTCAAACTTGTACTCTGATGAAAAGGATAAAGAGAGGGATGAAGGAAGATAGAAAACTTGAATTTGCATTTTGAGAATCATGTAGCTTGTGAAACTCATGCATTAGAGAGGGAGCAAAAGATTGAAAGTTTTGCTACTGAGTCACCTATTAGAGCACAATCAAGTATATTTGAAGTGCCAGCATTATTCACAATGGATATGAATGCAGCTATAAAACAAACTTGAGAGAATTTCAAAGCTTGGATACAAACATGACAGGCTTGGAGAATTCTATAGGTTTGGAAGTTGAAGATTTAAAACTGTAGTTGAGTCACTTCCAGGGAGGATTACTATTTAAGAAGCTCATACTTTACCAAATGATGGCAACAATGTTGAATCTTCCTCAGAACCTCGGATAATACAAAAGGAACAGGACATGTTTTTTTAGAATTTCTTAACCATCATCTATTTAACTTGGGTTGTTCACGTTTCATGTTTCTATTTATTGAAGTCACCGAATGAAAACATAATGGGTTAGTACGATTATTTGAGTGATCCTGTCATATATTTTGACCATAAAATCTCACAAGTTTTTGGTCATGCAGCATATCTACCTCAATCTCAAGATCCAGCCTGCTCATATGAATGCACACAAGAAGATGAATATTCAACAAGTGATGATAATGCTGAAGTTCAAAATGCTTTTGATGAATTCATTGCTCAGAATAATCTTTGTGAGTCTCAAGCTTTATCCAATGGAGGTAGCAATGCAGTAGCAGCTATAGAAGAAGCAGATAATAGACAAGGTGTGTTAAGAATTAAAAGAACTTTACACACTCCCTTTGCAATTGTGTTGTTCGTGTTAGTAAAAGTAATAGTGATTAGTGGTGTGACCTGGTGTGACTTTATGTGGTCCACCTATATTGTTCTCTACTGATAATGGAGAACCGTATATGGTCTATTAATGTTGTCCACTTATTGTAGTGGTTAACCTACTTTTGTATTTGGTCTGCAATCATCTGAAATCTTCAGTGCACACTTGAACAGACTCTATGATGGAGGAGTCTATAAAAGGGTGCATCTTCAGCTTCATGAGTCCCTGAGCTCACTCTACTATAGAGCTGCACACCATCTGGGCTGCAGAGAAGAGTTTGGAAGACTCAATAGAAAATTTTCATATCAGTTGCAAAAACTATTCAAAACAAAAGGAAAGCAATGGTGGGAGGTATTTATGATCTATCATATTCTGCATTTGAGTATAAGTTAGAACTTACACTTCGATGTTTCCTAGTAACTAGTTCATCAATTGAAATTAGCATATGTAGATGTAATACGTTTGCATACATTACATGAGATATCATTTTTAATATATTTAAAATATCAACAATTTTAAGAAGTTTTTTCTCCCCAGCCAATAAGCCTCCATTTCATGAACCAGACTGCTCTTGTCAATGCATACAAGAAGATCAATCTTCAACCAATGATGATGATACTGAAGTTCCCAATGCCTTTTGTGTTCATTGCTCAGGACAACATATGAAGGTTTTACATATCATACATTATTTTTTTTCTTTTCATTTTGTTTCATCTCATGAAACTCCAACTTCTGTTCCTTACCTTAATAGGAAATTGATGCTCTTTGAGGATGGAAGTGTTGCAAGTGAGGCAGAATGTGGTGATCCAGTTTTAACAATTAAACGGCTAAAATCATCTTAAAAATCTGAAAGAATCTTTAAGTGTTTTATATCAGGAACTAGAAGAAGAGAGAAGTGCCTCTGCAATAGCTGCTAACCAGACAATGACAATGATTACCAGGCGGCAGGAAGAAAAAGCAGCAATGCAAATGGAAGCATTGCAGTGCCAAAGAATGATGGAAGAGCAATCAGAGTATGATCCGGAAGCTTTGCAGATTTTGAATGATTTAATGATGAAAAGAGAGAAAGAGAAGCAAGAACTTGAAATGGAATTGGAAGAGCACAGGAAAAAGATACTGGACTATGAAGGAAAAGAGAAATTGAGGGTGTTGAGAAGAAAAGATGGAATTGTAAGAAGTAGAGACTCCTCTTCATCTTGCAGCAACATGGATGAGCTAACCATTGATCTTAATTAACTATGAAGCAAAGGATGAAGACAATGGCATCTTCAACCATGAGGAAAGCAGCCACAACAATTTAAGTGCTGATACAGTTTCAAATTTGGAGGAGATGGCAATAGACTGTGCAAAGTATATAAGTGTTGTTGATAATTCATTGGCAGAATTTGAGGAAGATAAGGTGTCCATTCTAGATGAGTTCAAAGCATTGAGGGAAAAACTTATCGCAGTGGTGATATAATGAGCAATTCCTTGATGAATTTAACTTGATTGAGCTTTCATCAAGACCAGGTGACAAAGACTTGATATGCAAAACTCATTTCCTACACTTGAAATGGATAGTATGAAGGTGTCCTTTGAAGAGGAGGTTGATCATGTTTATGAGAGGTTACAAGCTCTTAAAACAGATAGGGAGTTCTAAAGCACTGTAAGGGATCCACACAGAATGGAGACAAAGGAATGGATCTTCTTCAAGAAATCTTGCAACATCTTTGTGCGAGCTCCTCAAAAATTTATCCCCTGCTCCTTTTATCTGTTTTGCATAACTACTAAATTTTAGCCTTTACCTATGCCAACAAATTCTAAAAAGTTTGAAAATTATCTAGTGCCAAGGCACTAGCTAACCCCAATGTGGCTTTGTCACTGAAGAGTGAAGTATAAAAAAGAGCTTTATCCTTCAATGAAGTGATAAGTTAGGCCTTCTAAATGGATCCAATATGACATCTAACACAAAGCACTTTGTTTTAGATTGTCTTAGAGATGAGTTCATCACATTTGGAGTTTCATTTAAGACTTATTATGGCAACCAATTCTCGTGATGTAGAGCTCATATTTTTTTATTTTTTTTTTGTGTGTACATATAGAGCCCATATTTAGTTGGGTTTATGTGTGATTAAAAGAATTTTGTTAATAGGTGAGCCAATGTTATTAAACTGATTATCAATTCGGTTGAGATACTAAGTTGACAAGTCATTGGCTCAATCTATGAATCACTTGTTGAACTTGCTGGTTGAATTACTTAATTGAATTATATAAGAATATATAATAAATGTAATAATAAAAGTATTATGATAAATATATACTTGTGGTATAGTGATTAATGTTAGAAAGATATAAAATTATTAATGTAATATCACCTAATATATTAAGGTTTTGGATTAAAATAGATCTTTACCATTAATGTTGCATTACGTAGGTTAGGTTGTGGGTGTTAACAGTATGAGCTTGGAAAATTTCACACGGCAAAATAATGTATCGATTATGTATAAATTATAATCTGTATATATTTGTTAGTTATGGTTATGATGACTGAAGTTACTGTTTAGACCTCATAATTACTTCTTCATGGATCATGATATTCATTAATTAATTATAATTTTTTCAAAAATATGTTTAGTGATATATTTTTATTTATTTTAAATAATTCATATTTCTATCGTCGATTTATACTCTCAATCAAAAACATATAATTGAAAATATTATATTCAACTGTCAAATTATTATTATTATTATTATTATTGTTATGAGGTGAAAAGTTTTGGGCGACCTTTGGAGGACAGTAGCCTCATTAAACTATGATGAATATGTAAGTATTTTATTTGAAAGTGGTAATTAGTGAAATGATTATAATGTTGATCATCTCAAAATAATTTTTTTTTTGGTGAAGATCTCAAAATTATTTACTTCTTAAGAATAGTGTTGTAACAGAGTGCATGTCAAACAAATGGCATAACATATGCCGGAACAAAATTTTGACGTGCATAATTACACCAGATTGTTTTATTTACTCTAAAATCAACGGCAAATTGAGAAGACTAATTTTGTTAGGATGGAGAAAAAAAGATTATAGCGAATTATGAAGCGGAGAAAGTTATATTTATTATCATTTTAGACTTATTATTCTTATTATCTGATTAGTTACCGTTATATTAATTTGAAATCAACAATAGAAAAATAGAAGAAAAAAATAACTGTTGTTGATTTTGAATTAATCCTTTGATAAATAGAAGAAAAATGCATGTATCTCCAAGAAACTCTCAAAGAAAACTAAAGCGCTCAAAATGTAAAAACTGATTACAACTAAAAACTGAATTCTCTCTTCAACATGAAAATCTGACTTCCACTAAGTTCTGAGTTCCACTCCTTTTTACAAAACAAAGACTACTTAAAAAAAAAAAAATATATATCTTCAAATTGATGTTGTCCCTCATATCAAACAAGCATCCAACGACCTTCAAATTTCCATCTCATCTTCTTCTTTCATCTTTCATTGCCATGTGTCCTTTTCTGTGTATAAAAAGAAAAATAATTTGCAAAAAGTTAAAATTTCTTTTCTTTTACCTCTTTTTATCAACTTGGGCTTACTTCTTTAAATTTGGCCCAAAGTTTACCTGCACTTTAATACAATTCAGCCCATAAAACATACTCCGCGCCGCCAACAAGAGACCTACACAACGAAACAGATCCATACTTTCCTTGCCCGATCCTCACCCCAGTAACATAATCATCTTCAATCTTGTTCTTCCTCCCCATCTGGGTAGCCACGTCAATGCAACCTATCTTCCTCTTTAGGCCTCTTCCCGCGGTCATCAGAGAGACAATGTCCCACAAGGAGGAGCAGTGGCAAAACCCGCCACCCTACTCTTGTATAATTACCACTAAATTAAATAGAAATTAAGACTACCACTCGTCAGATTAGGTTTTGGCCTAAATACGTTAAGTTTATATAAAATATTTTGAACTTGGTTTGACCTATTAATTTGGTGTACTCTACATTATAGGTTTGGTCTTGTCTATATTTAAAAATCAAAATATATGACCTAGGCATATTAACATGTTTAAGCCTACGAATCTTTAATAATTATCAAAGATAATATATATATATATATATATATAAAATAAATTTTTATTAGTTAAATTTATATAAATAATTATTTATTTTATTTGAATTAAATTAAATAATACGATATACTGACGTATAGGTCAATATTTGTAAAAGGAAATGTTTTCTAAACAAGTTTTTTTTGAGGTCCAAGCCTATTTTATTTTACTAAATATATTAGCTAGGTCAAACCTAACCTACTTAGACCGAATTATAAACACTTAATAGACCATTTGATCCATTTAAATCCCTACATGGAAGTTATGTGTGAGGAAGAACTTGCAATTTGTGTGTTAACAGTATTGAGCTTGGAAAATTTCACACGGCAAAATAATGTATCGATTATGTATAAATTATAATCTGTATATATTTGTTAGTTGTGGTTATGATGACTGAAGTTACTGTTTAGACCTTATAATTACTTCTTCATGAATCATGATATTTTTAATTAATTATCATTTTTTCAAAAATATGCTTAGCGATATATTTTTATTTATTTTAAATAATTCATATTTCTATCATCGATTCATACTCTCAATCCAAAACATATAATTGAAAATATTATATTCAACTGTAAAATTATTATTATTATTGAGGTAAAAAGTTTTGGGCGACCTTTGGAGGATAGTAGCCTCATTAAACTATGATGAATATGTAAGTATTTTATTTGAAAATGGTAATTAGCGAAATGAATATAATGTTGATCATCTCAAAATAATTTACTTCTTAAGAATAGTATTGTAACCGAGGGCATATCAAACAAATGGCATAGCGTGTGCCGGAACAAAATTTTGACGTGCATAATCACACCAGATGTTTTATGTACTCTAAAATCAACGGCAAATTGAGAGTACTAACTTGGTTAGGATGGAGAAAAAAAGGTTATAGCGAATTGAGAAGCGGAGAAAGTTATATTTATTATTATTTTAGACTTATCACTCTTATTATTTGATTGGTTATTGTTATATCAATTTGAAATCAATAATAAAAAAATAGAAAGAAAAAAAAAACTATTGCTGATTTCGACTTTGATAAATAATTAGATAGTAAGGGTGGTACGTCTAAAATATAATAAATATAACCGCCCCAACTGAGAGGCTTGATAGTCCATTGTTCTTTATAAAACAAAGGGGTGGTGAAGGGAGGGCCCCAATTGGTAGAAAAAAACCCGCAACTTTTTTTCTTCCAGAAACTCTTAGTATTTAAAAAATACATTGAATTTCAATTATTTCGAGTTGAGTCGAGTGAACTTACTCAAAGGAACAATATTCTCTTAATGTCTGTTTTTTCGTTTTCACAATTAAGACTTCACTTAAATATAATCGAGTCCCTTATTACTCGAACTTTTTACATATTGATTTATAAAACAAACAAATAATAACATTTGTAGATAGATCAAAAAACTCAATTTTTGAGTTTGTTCTTTCCGGTTCAAAGGTTGAAGTGACAAAAATAATAGAACCCCGTATACCGAAGTGAAAAAGAATTGAAGTGAAAAAGAACCAATTTTAATTATTATTATTTTAACCTTGAATAAAATTCATTAAACCAGTAATGAAAAAGAATTGAAGTGAGTAAACATAAACAGAAAAACCAAAATCACTGGCTGCTTGTGGAAGCTTGTGAAGCTTCCAAAAAATAATCCATTTTCTTTATCACTGGCTGCTACACTAGTCCGGTGAACATTCTTTACCTCAGTTACTCTACCATCAGCCTCATTCATACTCTCATATCACATGAATACCGAACTAATTTGTTTCCAGCTGCAATAGTAGACTGAAGAATATCATCCTCTTTCTGCTGCTTCACTTTAAGTGATTTTTAGAATAAATTTCAGCCCAAACTTTATTGAAATCTGAACGACACCGACTCCATTCCTCCTGTTTCTGCTTCAGTCGAGTCAATATTACAGGGAGCGCACGAGTTGGGTTTTTACGCAATATGTCTATAACGTCAAGACCATGGTCACCATATAGACGTTCAATGCACCTTAAATTTTGAACAGTAAAGTAATCTTCAATACGGTTCAGAGTCTCCATATTGATCTTATTTTCATTCATGTTATTATATAATTCCTCTGCACGTTTAGCTGCAGAACTCACAGACTCTAATAACATGTCCAGCTCAAATCTGTCATCTTCACATCTGAACAAGCTCTCTTCGTACTGATTCCTGCACATATGTTCGGAAGAGTAATCCTCACTTCCTGAACTCACAGATACCCAGTGATCATTCAATACTTGAGCACCAAGCTCAGATCTCTGACTAGCTGTAGGAATTGGATAATCAGCAGGTAGAAGCCGGTAGCTGGGAGTGCAACGTTTACAGTCACTGAGGTCAAGTTCTTGAATGGATTTTCCCATGTACTCCTTCTCCCTGTATCTTTCCTTCTCTTTAGCTCCATCCATCTCACGCTTCTGCTCTTTGTCTTTGTCTTTGTCCTCCAACTTTGATGATCTTAGTGACTTTTTACTCATGACACCAGCAAGGAACCCATCAATATTTTCCAAACACTCCAGGAAATCATTGAATTCCACCATAAGATCAAGATGCTTTCCAAGTAAATCGGTTACCAAATTTTGCAATTCATTCCTTTTTATTATTTCACTGACGAAAAAATTATGAAGGCACTTCAAGAAAGCTTGGTAGTCATCAGCACTGTTCAACTTCTCCTTAACTTTCTCAAAGAAACTGAATGCTTGACTATACATGTTCTTTAAGGTATCCTTGTCTTCCTTAGAAGAAAAGTCTGAAGCCAACCCAAAACCTTCAGCTTTCTTGACAGATTTCTTTTTCTCATGAAAGCGCTGCAAGTTCAAATCCCTGCTGTTATTATTTTATATTGACAAAAATCTCACATGAGTCTTTACAATATTATTATTTTTTATTCTATAAATAATGTTCGCCCATCTAAATGTGACAACGCCTAACTCACCAGGTGTTGTAAGCGAGTTAGGTAACGTGACATTATGAACAAAAATTTACAAAATGTGACATTCAGATAATTTTTTACAAAAAATGTGGCACTTTAATCGTTGTCCATCAAAGAATCCTATAACAATTTCCATCTTAAAAACAAATCAAGAATTACAAGCCGTCTGTACTAAATAGGGAATGAAAGAAAGGGGCAAAAAAGTAGAATACATTCTTATATATTAAATTAAAGTTTATTCTCTTAAATGTAATGCCTATAATAGAGTAAACGCATATGATTTACTCTGCATCAGTATCCTTTCTATATATACTGCAAAAGACAACTCTGTGTTTTGTGATATAGTTTCTGAACTGTTAAGAGTTTGTTTCGTGCCAGCTCTGTTTCTGTTAGAAGTTAGATTTGCTGAGCTGGGGGGACACTGTAATCAGTTTAATCTTAAGTCAATAACACAGTTCTCACTCAGAAACTTTCTCTGATCTCTTCTCTCTTTCTTCTCCTCCTCCTCTCTCTCTCCCTCTCTCTCTCATACTTACATTTACTCAACAAACATAAAAACATACTAGAACAGACGAGACGTACAAAGAAAAAAAAACAGAACAAACTTAAAAAATAAAAATAAAAAATAAAAAAGGAACCTACTCAGTCACAAAATTATATTCTGTTATGTAAATAAGTTTACATTCACTCCAATTCCTTCTTATACTCAAACTAACTAGGTTGATTGAGAAAACTGCATTACACTCAACTAACAGAAAACAACTTTTTCGTCCTAAATAATCAGCAATAACTTTGGGGTAATAAGTTATAAGTCAGATTAGTTCTAGCAAACCCAACCCCATGAGCTAGGAAAATGAAAATGTAGAGAGAAAGAATCATCCAATAAAACCGTTAAAAAGGGGAGAAATGGATACCTCAAGAAATTGTTGAGCATTTATATGATCAGGTTCTCTCTCATCCTGATCACGATTAATCCTCATATCCTTACTCTCACGTTTCCTCCGCTTCTTGTGCATGTTCATCATTGTGTTGTCATCATCCATCTCAGGGTGTTCAACACTCAGATCACGCTCACGATCATGAGAAGGAAGCCTCTTTCGTCGATATACTTGCATTTGCCGCATCATGGGTGCCATAGAACTCCGCTCACTAAAGCGCTGCAATGAATTTCGAGCATCCGGAGCATGCTGTGTAGAAGGTGCTGCGAAACTATCTGGTAAGAATCTAGTGAACTCCTCAAGCAAATCTCGATGATCCTTAAACAGGGTAGCAACCTCACTATAAATTTCACCTATGTCCTTATGCTCTTTGCGGTACATATTGGAAATGTTCAAGAACGATTTGTAAACATGCTCATCACTTTGGAATCGTTTCTTTATCTTGTTCACAAAACTAATAGCTTCTTCAAATTCAACCGTTTTCTTTGGAGGAGCCTCATCCCTTACTCTCTTCATCTTTTATCGGTTCTCCAGATTTTCCTAGGAAAATTCGCTGGAAAACAAGTCGAGTAGATCGACAAGAGAAAGAAAAAAAAAGAGTGAAGTGTTTGATCGGACAGAACAACAAGGTAAACAAGAAAAACAACAAATAGGGTTTCTTCTTTCTCTGTCTCTCTCACGTTGTTGCGTTAGAACGATGGAAACTGAGGCGGTGGGAACCAATTAAAAGGCTAGATTTAGAATTTTATATGGGAAAAAAATTTAATTATTGCATTTTAATTAATTAATTATGCAATTTGGATTGTGATTTTTTTTTTGGAGGTTTGGATTGTGATTTGATAGAAGAAAATAAATAAAATTTGTGATATGTGATTTAATTTTTTACAGTTTTGGATTGTGAACCAATCTGCGTGTGTGATTTAATATAAAAAATTAATCAAGATTTGATGTGTGATTATATTTAAATTTTATTTTTATTTTTATTATAAAAAAATTTGGTTTGTTATTTAAATTAAAAGTAACAATTATTATTAATAAGGAAAATAAAATAAAGATTTGATTTGTGATTTAAACTCAAAAATCAATTTGAAAAATCTGTATTAATAAATGAAATAATTCAATAAATATTCTAAATCTCTAAGGAATAAGGATTACCTAATTTAAATTTAAATTATGTTTGTGAGAAATAAAATATATCAAATGAGATGTCATTGCGTAGATCTCGAAAAGTTATGTGGAATCAAAAAACAATTACCTGAATTGGATACCCGAGTCAAAAGTTATGGCCTTCAGAAGTTTTATGATTAAATTATTATTATTTTTTTATAAAAAATGACACGTGTCAACCTTAGGTGAGAGATGCCTAAATGAGGCGTCACATTGTAAAATAGATCCGTAATTATTTCCAAAACTGCCATAAATGCGTAATATTTAATTAAAATGCAATAATTAAATTTTTTTGCCAATTTTATATATCTCAAAGATATGAATTAGTATTATTATATCTCCTTGGAGTGATGGATCAATCAACAAATTAATGACTCTACTAATTTAATTTAATATATTATTTAAAAGTAATATATTTAAAATCAAATTAAATCTAATCATGCCAATTATTAAAAAAACTTTAAAATATATCTTGTTTTTAAAATAAAATAAAATAAAAACATAAATGAAATGATAATTAAAATTCATAAAATTTATACTTAATATATTTTAATTTTATTTATCCTGATATGATAAGCATAGGTTGTGTCAAAATTTCTATATAAATACATAAAATACAAAATTTAAAAGTACACAATACGATAAAGTTTTGTTTCAAAATTTAAAAGTACATAATACAAAATTTAAAAGCACAAATTCTTTTAGTTTTAAAATAATCATTGTTTAAAGATTTGTACAAAAATTAAATAATTCATTAAATTCTTTACGATTTAATGAAAATATAAGTTTATTTGATTATATTACACCTTCACTCTATTAAATCATTCTTATTCCAATAAGTAGAAATAAAAAAATAAAGTAGAGCTAAGGAAATAATATTTTTTTTTTAAAGTGACAAATAATTTAGAATAAATTATAACTTTTTAAATACAATTAGATACATAAAATGTGCCTATCATAGTAGAAAGCAAGTTAAATTCAACACCATATTATTTAAGTGGAAAGTGTTTGTCATTTTAAATGACATAAAGTTATGTCATTTGTAACGCCCGGTCGCTTCAAGAATCAATGACTATCCCCACATACTAACACGAGACTTTTCAGTGTGCTTTTTCCTCACTCGCACACTTCCCGGGAAAACTTCCTAGGAGGTCACTCATCCCATAATTGCTCCTAGTCAAGCACACCTAACTGTGGAGTTCTTCCGATCCGGGCTACCGAAAAGCAGATGCATCTTGTTAGTATAGGTAGTACCAATTGATTCTTATAAGCTATTCTCAAACTGTGCAGTCTCATACCTGCACAGTCTTTGGAATTCTTCTCTTTCGGGTGTCGATTCGATTCATTCATGCATGTAACCCCACGCTGGAAGCCTGTCAGGAGCCGCTCCTTGTCCGTGCCCCTTTGCACCGGCGATTACTCCCTGCCCTCGTCAGCGCTCTAGATGTTACATCATTTTAATAGAGAGATTCACACAAGAAATTATTTTTTATTTAAAATTTAAATTAAAAAAATCACTCACTTTCTCTCCCATGATTTTCATTTCTTATCTCTATATCTCTCCTAAAATAATATAACTTATGTCATTTAAAATGACAAACATCAAACTCATTATTTAAACATGGTCCTATCACTTAATTTGTTTTTAGCTTTTTTTTTTTTAAGAAAAAACCCAAGCAAGACCTGATTATCAAACTTGTGCAGGACAACAAATTAGACATGATTAGTTATCAAACTTCAAGACCTAATACGTCAAATGCTTTGACGGGATTAGCCAAAAAAATTAAGTCCATGTTTTTTAATAAATTAATTACGCATTTATTACAGTTTTGGAAATAATTATATATTTATTGTACAATATAACGACCAATTTGGGCGTCACTCAAGACGCCTAAATTGGGCGTCACTCAAGAGGCAATCATACTTAATTTAGGCGTCATTTATCAGATATTGACACGTGTCATATTTTTTTTCCAAAAAAATAATAATTTAATCATAAAACTTCTGAAGGCCGTAACTTTTGACTCGGGTATCCAAATCAGGTAATTCTTTTTTTAATTCCTCATAACTTTTCGAGATCTACGCAATGAGATCTCATTTGACATATTTTATTTCTCACAAACACAATTTAAATTTGCAAGAATAATATTATAAGAAACGTTAAACCCGGAAGCCTCTGAGTTCTGGATTTGTGATTTAATATAAATAAATAAATAAAATTTTGATTTGTGATTTAATTTTTTTTTAATAATATTTTTTTATTATAACAAAAATTTGGTTTGTGATTTAAATTAAAAATTAAAATTAAAATTATTATTAATAAGGAAAACAAAATAAAGATTTGATTTGTGACTTAAACTAAAAAATCATTTTGAAAAATCTGTAGAAATAAAGGAAATAATTAAATAAATATTCTAAATCTCTAAGGAAGAAGAATATTATTTTTGAAATTAATGATTAATGCTATAAGCTTCTAAGTTATTATTTATGGTCTGAAATTAATTATGGCTTATGAATTTTTTTCAAAAATAAAATTACCTAAATTAGGCGTGATTGCCTCTTGATTGAAACCCAATTTAGACGTCATTGGTGACGTGTCAGGTGTTGACACGTGTCACATTTTTAAACTCAGAAGCCTCTGTGTTTTGGGTTTGTGATTTAATATAAAAAATAAATCAAGATTTGATGTGTGATTTAAATTAAAAAATAACAATTATTATTAATAAGGAAAACAAAATAAAGATTTGATTTGTGATTTAAACTCAAAAATCAATTTGAAAAATCTGTATTAATAAAGGAAATAATTAAATAAATATTCTAAATCTCTAAGGAAGAAGGATTACCTGATTTAAATTTAAATTATGTTTGTGAGAAATAAAATATGTCAAATAAGATGTTATTGCGTCGATCTCGAAAATTTATGTGGAATCAAAAAAAGAATTACCCGATTTGGATACCCGAGTAAAAAATTATGGCCTTCAGAAGTTTTATGATTAAATTATATTTTTTTGAAAAAAAATATGACACATGTCAACACCTGATGAGTGACGCCTAAATTAGGCGTGATTGCCTCTTGAGTGCGAGTTGGCTCCCTCCGGTATCCCCACGAGCTTCGACTCTTTGAGCCGGCTATGGGACTAATCCGGAGTGCGGGGGAACAGTGACCTTACACAAATTTCTGATATTCTTCTTGACTTTCTCCCTAATTTGTTCCCTAATTTCTATCTTAGGAATTTCCTTCATCCAATACCTGACTTTGTTTTTTCTTGAATTTCCTTTATTTGATTTCTCTTAATTCATATCAGGAATTTTTAAAAAATAAAATAATATATACTTGATAAATGGGTGTTCCCATTCCTTGATTCCAATTTAAATTCACAATAATAATAAAAGTGCTCTGTTTCACTTCTATGAGAATAAATGATTGTTTGGATGAGTTTTCAAAAAAAATATTTTTATATTTTATTTATTTTAGAAGTACTTTTTATAAAAGTTAAAGTTATTTAGATTTTTAAAAAATATTTAGTTTTTGAAAAAATATTTGTGTTTTAACTTATGTTATTTTTAGAAGCTAAAATTTTCATTTTAAAAAAAAGATTTTTAACTTTTTTTTATGACTTTTACTCTTTTTAAAAGTAGACGTCCAAACATATTTCTCCCATACATGTTTTTTTTTCCTGAAGTAAAACAACTTTTGAAGAGAGAAAAAGCCATCCAAAGAGGCTCTAATAATTTTTTAATGACATGGAAGAAAATGAGAAAAAAAGATTAAAAAAAAGATGATGCTAATTTTTTTAATTTTTTATTTCTATTATTTTAGTTCCTTTATTTTTTTTTCTCTTCAGTCAATTGATAAAAGATTTGAAACTTTAAAAACTTTCTTCCCTTTTCTCCCCTCAATCCAAAGATAAGGTTAAATTATAGAGAATCATCCCATTCTTCTAATAAAAACAAAAAGAGAATTATCTCGTATTTTAATTAAAATATATCATTTGTCCTCTCTTTATTGACAAAACTATTTATGTCTAAAAGGACATAATTTACGTCCTTTAAAAGGACACACTAAATCCCTCTCTTTTTTCCTGATTTGATCGGAATACTTTGAGCCATGAGAGTAAAAATGAGGGCAAAAATTCATGAATCAATTTTATTAGTAAATTATGTTTAAGATATATCCATGAAATTTTTATTCTTATTTTACCATAATACATAGTTGACTCAAAGCGAAAGTAGAGTAAACACTTATACCTCGATACCGGAGTTGTTAAATTGAGTCATGACTTATCAATTAATCTGGTTTAAGTTACCAAAATTCAATCCATATTAATTTACTTTTCTCTCAACTTGTA